TTTCGTTTGGGTTTGGGTTTGGGTTTTAGTTTTTTATTGTCTATTGGTTTTTCTTTTCCGGTTTTGTTCTTTTTTTTTTTTCCTTCTTTTCTTTCTTTTTTCTGTTTTTTCTTCTGTGTGTATGTGTCTGTGTGTTTTGTCTTTCAGCCGCGCTGGGAGTCGGCAGGGTATTCTTGCTTGCTCTAGCTTTCCACCGAAAACGTGGGCTGAGGGCTGGCGCTGCGGCCCCCCAGGATTCCCAGGACGAAGGAGCAGGGTGTGGGAAGAAATCTTTCTTATCCCAGATACCAGGACTGGGCGGCCCGAGAGGACACAGAGAGAGAAAGAAGAGATCGAGGGTCAGGCTCCGCCAGCCACTGCCATGCCCACCGCGGCCCCACCCGACCCCTGTGACCTGTGACTTGTCCCCCCATCCCCGACCTGTCATAACCCGTTGGTTGACCCTGGGCAAGTGACCCTGCCCCTACGCAGGGCTGCCAGATAAATCACAGAATGCCCAGTGAAATCTGGATTCTGGATAAACGACCGATAAACCTTTTAACGTAAGTATACCCCATGCAACTTTTGGGATATACTTTTACTTAAGAGATTTTTTTGTTGCTGTTGTTTAAATCCTTTGTTTATCTGGAATTGAAATCTACCTGAGTATCCTGTAGTTTTGTTTGCTAAATCTGGCAGCTCAACCTCTGAGCCTCACTGCCCTGACTATAAAATGAAGGAGGGGACCCCCTACTCCGTTCATGGAGGGTGACTGGTCAATCTTTATGGAGCACCACCATACCTGGGCTCTGAGACTGGGGTTGTTGGTTTCCTTTTTTGTTTTAATAAACATTTTCCATTTAATGATTTCCTCCAGAACCCTATATGAAAGCAGAACTATTGCCCCCTGACACCCCATTTTGCAATGAAGAAAACTGGCGCTCAGAGAAGTTAAGTAACTTGCCCAAGTCCACCAGCATGGGAGGGAGGGGCAAAGCTGGAATTGGAACTCAGGCCTGAGAAGCTCCAGTCCCCACTGGTAGCCCTGCCTGGGGTTGACCCCTCAGCCTGGCCTTTTCGGGGGTCACAACTCCCACTTTACAGAGGGGGAGGATTGAGGCTCTGGGACAGGAGGCCAGGCCTGCATGTATAGCTGTGGCCTGGGTCTCCACAGGGAAGCTGCCGTACAGACTCTTCCCCTGGAAATGCATCCAGTTTGCCTGTGTGGGGTGGGCTTGGGGGTACGTAACACCCCATCTTTGCCCCACTGAGGTCAGAGCATACTGTATCCCCACCCCTGCTGTAAATCAATAGCACCCCCTCCAACCAGGCCACCCTGCAGCCACAGGGCCATCCCATCCAACTGATGCTGTGGCTCCCAGCCCCCCATCTCCAGCCAAGTTCAAGTTCATCTTGGCCATTACCTCATGTCTGGTTTCCGTTGGCAACCAGACAGATTCTGGGCGTGACCCTCCCCTGTGGTGGCCGGCCTCCCCTAGGCCCTTCCTCCCTTCCTCCTCCCCTCCTAGGCTCTCTGCCCAGCTCTGGCGCCCCGTAATGGGGTGGTGGGGGGGACCCTCAACTCAACATCCTCCCCCTTAGCTGAAGGGGAGACTGAGGCAACACGGTGCCAGAGGTGAGGTCCAGGCTCTGGCATCCCCCTAGCCTCTCTGGAGCCACCAGTGTGGCTTTGGGCATGTGGCTGCAACCCTCTGGCCCTTGGTTTACTCATCAGCTGAACGGACATGATGGACAAAAACCGTCTGGTGTAAAATGCTCAGCTGGGGGGAATCCTTCACATAGGGATGGAGGTAGGGATGTCAGAGGCCACAGAGTCTCACTTGGGGGGCCAAAGTGATGGATGGCTCAGGACTGGGGAGACTGATGGTGAAAGACGGGTGGGCAGGATGAAGAAGGTGGGCCATTCATCAAGGGGAGATCAACTGACACTGATCAGGGGAGGGGCAGTGACTGGAGGAGGGGATACTGATCAGGGGGAGGGGCACTGCCTGGAGGAGGGGATACTGATCAGGGGGAGGGGCATTGACTGGAGAGGGGGATATTGATCAGGGAGAGAGGCATTGATTGGGGGAAAGGCAGGGGATGCAAGGGCTTGTGCAGAGGCAGAGAAGCCACTGCAGGCTGGGGGGTGGGGGCGGAGGAAAGCAAACCCGCCAGGAATAATGAAGGCGGAGACAGAAGTGCTGACTGGGCCAGAAAGGAGAGGCCTCTCAACTCTGAGCCCTGCGCGCAGGGGTTCCAAGAGGGGGGAGTGGGTGTCACGGCTTCTTTCCCCCTTCCCTCCCTGAGGTCTGCCTGGACCAGGGGTGCCTGAACCCACTGGGGGACTTGGGGGCCTTCAGTCCAGGGACCTGTGGTCTTGCCTGTATGGTGCTGGCGAGATCTTCCCCCAGACCCAGATGGAGGGCCTCACCTTTCCTGTCACTCTTGAGAGTCTCTCACCCATCTGTCACCTTCCCTGCCTCCCCAAAACCAGCCTCACAAAGTGCTTTCCAATTCCCCGCCCTAGCTGTGTCCCTCCCTCTCTCTAGTCCCTTCCATAGCTCCCCTTGGCCCCCAGGCCAAAGACCACATTTGAGGTCTTCCACATTCAGGCTGTCTCCCCATCATTTCCAGCCTTTGGCAGTGCTGAGCCCCCTGCCTGGACACCCTCATCCTTTTCTGCCTGACACCAGGCTCCAACCCCTCCCGACCCAGGCAGAGTCCCAGATAGCCCCTCTTCCAAGTTCCTCGACAGTTCTGGTCTCACCCTCTCTGGGTACCCAGCAGGACTTGCAGGCTGGCGGGGGGGAGCAGGGGGGTGCGACCAGAAGCATGTAGAACCAAAGGTACACCACCTTGCCTGCCTTGGTTTCCCTCCCCTCTCAGGCCATCCAGGCTGACAATGGGGTAGGTGAGGTGGTGGGTGAGGGAGGCTGGGGAAGGGTTAAGAGGGCAGGGCCCTCTCCCTGTCACTTTTATTAGCTTTGATTTCTGAAGCAATTAGGACATTCCCAGCCTCCTGTGGGGAGGGATGTCAGGTCAGCTGGGACAGGAAACGCCTGGCTCTCAGAGAACTGTGGGGGTGGTAGTGTCCAGGCCCCGACAAAACTCAAAACCCAAAGAGGGGAGTCCTAGGGCCACCCCAGCTTGCTGGGTGACCCTGACCAAGTGACCTCTCTTTTGGATTCCAGCCGAGGCTCTGTAAGACAGGACACTGAATATTTTGGATATGTGAGGGTACGTGGGGCAGTCGGATAAAATTGGTTCCGTAACGCTTGAGACCCTTCAAAGCCACCCCAGGAAGTGCCCAAGGCCAGAAGAAGAGACTGAGGTTCAGAGTGACTAAAGTAGAACTGGGCATGAGCCCTGGTCTCCTGACCACAGCACCCCCAGCTGAAGTCTGGGCAGGAAGGGCAGAGGATAGCCAGGTCTCCCTCACCCACTCTGGCCCCTCCGCGCTGCCAGCAGCGACCAGCCCAACCTTGGAGGGTCCCCAGGGGGCCAGGCTGTGGTGGGAGGTTCCCTTGGGTCTGGTCTGGGTGGCTGAATCTGGTCTCAGCGGAGGACGGGGGATGTGGCTGCCTCTCTGCCTCCAAACACCCACCCTGCCCATGGACTCTGCTGTAGGAGACCTTCCCACAGTGGCTTGAGGGTCCAAATGTGGCTCCTGGGGACCCCACAAATCCCCATGCTCTATGGTTCTGGTGATTTAGAGATGCTGAGGGGCCCTGAGGAGGGTTCTTGGTGCATCTGGGCCTTGGAGGGAGCTGGCACTGCCCTCGGGCTGTTTTACATCCTGTGACCCCCTCCTCAACATGCACCAGGGACTGTAGGCTCTGGGGTCCAGCCAACACTCTCAAACACCATCTGCCCAACACACTCCTGGCCTGTGCACGACACAGATGTGGATCCCGGCCCGAAGGCAGGTGTTGGGGATGCGTGGGCAGGAGCTGAAGTCACCTCCCACCCTGAAGAAGGCTGGGAGCCCTGAGCCTCAGCTCCGGGCCCTCATGGCTCTACCTTGCACTGCTGTGCAGCCTCAGGCAACTCACTCCTCCTCTCTGAGCCTCCCTGTCTCGTCCTCAACCAGCCCCTCTCCCCGTTCCGCGGTGCACACTCAGCTGCAGTAATGCCAACTCCACCTCTACCACCCCCGCCACCTCGCAGGCTAGAGCCCGGGGCAGGGGCCTGTCTGCCGTACCGGGAGGCCCCACCCCGGCCCTCCTCTCCTGTGGTCCCTCTGGCCAGCACAGGAGGATGACGGGGGGGGGGGGGAGACTTGGGCTGACGTGCTGTGTGATCCTGGGCAAATCCCCTCACCTCTCCGAGCCTCCATCTCCCCATCTGTGCCAATGGGGCCAGGGCGGCAATAGCCCAGGCCCCACAGCAGCTCTGCTGTGACCGCCCCCGGCAGGAAGCGCAGGCGGACTTGGAGTAGCACCACAACCCTGGGCGTGGGCTCAAGGCCCTGGAAGGGCCTGGGAGGCTGGCCCCGCTGCCCCGCTGCCATGCTCAACAGCCACTGTGCTAGGGGTGTGGCTGGGGGGAGGCACGGGGCCCAGTGGGCCAGCTTCTCCCTGTGCACCCAGGCCGGCCCTCTGCCCTACCCCTCCCACCCCCCCACCGGCTGGCCTCTTGGCCCCTACCTGTGCCTGATAAATGCCCGTTGGATCCCTTGGTCCTAATCCCACAAAGGAACGGTTTGCAGGGGACGTGCCGGGCGTAGAGTAGGCTGCGGGGAGGAGAGAGACCGAGAGCCCGTTAGCGCAGAGGCGGCACGGGAGCACCAGAGAGGGTGGCCGCTGCCCAGGGTCACACAGCTGGGCCTTCGCACCCAGCACCCGGTCCTCAGAGCTCGCCGCCCTCCCCCTGGATGGTCCAGGCACCCGGAAAAGCCCACAGTCTCGGGCCCCCAGGGTCACGCGGGCCGGTGTCTGCTGGGAGGGAAGGCACGGGATGAAAGATTCATAATCCAGAAACCGCCTGTGAATTATTCAGGTGCTCCACTGCCTGGCCCATCCTGTGCCCGCGGCCTACACCCCGCACGGGGCGCCATGAATTATTGAGGGCGTTTTATTTATTAATTTTCCTCCTGGAGAGGGCGCAGGGAAGGCCGGGTGTGCGCGCGCACACACACACGTTTTTCTATTTTAATCTCACTGATTACGTTTTGTCAGCGAGTGAATGATTCACGACCCGGGCTGGTGGGGGGACAGGGGTGGTGGGAGGGTCCCCACGTGGTGAGCGGGAGGCAGTGAGGCCTGGGGGGTTTGGGGTGTAGGAAGCAGGCTGGACCTGCAGTTAAGAAGCTGGTACGGAGGGAAGGAAAATGAACCCACATTTATTCCTTGTCTATTAAGTGTCTACTGTATGCCAGGCACTGGGCACTATCCCATTTTAATCCTCAGTGGCCTCAATGCAGCAGACATGATAATTATGCCCATTTCACAGATGAGCAAGTAGGCAGAGGAGGTGACAACCAGCAGCACAGGCCAACTCTCCACTTTGCACCTGGTCTGCTGCTAAATGTTCTCCCTGACCTATTTCATCAACTCGCTACCCACCACCCTCTGGTGACTATTTCATATTGCCATTGAGAAATCTGAGGCTCAGAGAGGAGAGGACATTTGCCCAAAGTCACACAGGGAGCATGATGCAGAGGCAGGATTTGAATCCAGTGCCCCACGCTGCATCTGGTGTTTAGAGAAAGCCTATCTGCATGTAAGGCTACCCTGGCTCTAGGCAGGTAGTGGGAAGAAATGTTGGGGGCTGGGGTGCTGCATGTGGGGAGGGGGGCGGATGGGGCCCAGATGCAATGGTCGGCCCCTCCTGCTCGGGTCGGGTGAGGAATCTCACTTGGGGAGCGAGGGAGAGAGAGACACTCAAAAAGGGAAGGGGTTCAGGGAGAGGCTTGAGGTGGAGCCACTGCTGATGGGACAGACCCCAGGAGGGGGAATCTGAGACCTCTTCCCAGTCTGGAGCAGCCTTGGAGTGGGGGGTGCATTAGAAGCAAGCAAGCTGTAATCTGGAACCACGTCCAGAAGGTAGAAAGTTCTAGAATGTAAGGAGACCAACCCAGGACCTTCCATCAGGCTATCACCTGGAACCACATAGACACAGCAAAAAGTTCTAGGAAGTGAGGCAGCTGACCCATGGCCTCCTTGGGTCAGGAGGGCAGGTGGGGACTGTCCTGTCTACAGGTGTGGCCCAGCTGGGTTACCAGTAGCTGAACGGGGCCCCATTTCCCCCCAAGAATCCAGAACGCTGGAATTTTTATGTGAGATGTCCAGATTTTAAAACAACAACAGATTTTCATTTTCCACAAACAAGAGGCATCTAGGGGCCGAGTCTGGCCCTCCGGCCTTTCTCCTTTGAGATCTCTGCTTGTCCCTCTGCCAGCTGCCTCTTGCACGGAGGAGGATTCAGAGGCCCAGAAAGGGAACACAGGGGCCCCAGGCCACTCAGCCAATGGGGGCAGACTCCAGACTTGCCCCTGGCCACCCTCTAAGGCTGCCTTGGCTCTGCGTGGACCTGACCAGGTGGCCCCAGGCCTCTATCTGGGGACCCACCAAACTCGCCGGTACCCACCGGGCCGTGCCTGAGCCCCCGACCCCAGCAGCGGGGGCCGGGGAGGGGAGGGGCCCCTCGGGGACGCCCGCCCTGCCACGGGCACCGCTTCCCGAGTGCTTACAGGGCGAGGTCGGCGACGAGCTTCCTCCCTCGGAGGTGGGTTTGGTGGCAGGGGGGAGCGCCAGCCGCGGCAGCCCGGGGGGCGGGGGTGCCAGCATCTGAGCGGAAAGGCAGTGACTGGACATTTTGAGCTGGCCACTTCCATTTAACTGGGGGGACAGAGAGACAGGTGGTTAAGGCGGCGGCGCCCCCTCCGCCTCGGGCTGCCATCTGCCCGCGCGCCCGCAGCCCTGCAGGGCCGGGGAGGGGCTGATGGGCGTGGCCAGGGCGAGTTTGGTGGGTGCCCGGATGACCAGGACGGCGGCCTCCAGCGTCCCGTCCCGGGATCCAGCCTCCTGGGATCGCGCTCCCTCCGCCGCCTCCTCGAGCCACTCTGCACCCACCTGCTTCCCTTCCACGCCTCCTAAACAGCCTTGTCCCACCTCCGGGGCGGCCCCCCGGCGTTCGCTGCGGGGACACATCCTTCCACCACCTTGCCCGCAGTTCCCAGCTCCAAAAGGCTCAGAACACCCAATGTTTTGGTGGAAGTTTGGCCAGAGCCAGCCTGAGCTCCGCCGTAACCGTGTTTGGTTTCGAGGCGTCCTAAAGCATGTGCTGTCAATTTTGACATCCGAACAAGCCTCAGTTCTGACCCGGCCTGGCTCCGGGTGCTTCAGATGAGAGGGGCTGCGGACTCGCTGCTGCACGACGGAGAACGTGGGGGCGGCCGCCTGACACTCGCAGTGACGCGCCAGGGCCCCAGGGAGGTCGCGCCCTCCAAACTCACCGGTCCAGGCTGCTGACTGGCTGGGTCGCAGGCCAGCGAGACGAGATCTTTGAGCGGGTCCTGGGGGTTGAGGTGAGGCGGGTAGCGGATGGCCGTGTGCGGGAAGTAGGTGGAGGCCGTCTGCGGCAGGATTGAGGTCGTGGGGAAGTGCAGGGCCGAGGATGGGTGTGGGCTCCGGGCGATTCCTGCGGAGGGGGCGGGGTGGGGGGCGGTCACCGGGGGCTCTGGCCAGCCCCCTCTGTCTCCCTCTGACTGTTTGTGGGCGTGGATCATGCCTGCATCAGGCCCTGCTGTCATTTACACGCCCAAATTCGCTGACTCCACCGGGACCCCACAGGGTTCTGGTATCACTTCTGTTTTTACTTCTTTTTTAAACAGAGGATGACCGGGCGCTCTGGGAGGGAATGCTCCCTGCCCCAGGCCATGCGAGCAGGTAGTTCCAGCCCAGGCTCACTGGCCTCACAGCTAACTCATTCCATAAATGGCTGGCAGGTCAGGCTTTTAAAAAATATTGAGATATAATTTGCACATTAAAATTCACCCTTTTGAAGTATACAATTCAGTTTTTTTTAACACACTGATGGAGCCATGGAACCATTACTAGTCTCTTTTAGAACATTCTCATCACCCCCAAGGAAACCCCATCCCCACTAGCATCACCCCCATCTCCTCCCTAGCCCTTGACAATCACTGACCCACTCTCTACCTCTGTGGATTGGCCTGTTCTGGACGTTTCATATAAATGTTATCACACACTATGTGGCCTCCTGTGTCTGGCTCTCTCACTGAGCACCGTGTCTCAAGGTCCATCCACATTGTAGCGAGTGTCAGGGCCTCGCTCCTTTTCATGGCTGAGTAATATTCCATTCTGGTATTTGCTTTTTTTCCTTTTTCTACACAATTCAGTGACTTTCAGTATATTCAGTTTGTAATTCCAGAACATTTTCATTTCTCTGAAAAGAAGCTCTGTGACCATGAGCAGTCACTTCCCCCTTCCTCTCTGTCCAGCCCCTGGCCAGACAGTAAATATTTTTGGCTTTTCAGGCCATAGGGTCTCTGTTGTAGCCGGTCAACTCTGCCCTGCAGCCTGCAAGGCGCTGCAGACAACATGGTAACGGATGTGTGTGGCCCTGCACTAATAAAACTTTATTTACAAGAAGAGGAAGTGGCTGGGGTGGGGGTGCTGCTCTGCTGGCTCCTGTTCTAAACCACTGTGCTATTTTGGGGATTTCTGCCCTTCCGCTGTATGTGTGTCTGCCCTTGTATGGAACTAAATCATTATTATCACAACCAAGGGGCAACAGGTGATATTCAAACTCTTATTTAACTTATTCTATCCCACGGACAGCCCTGGGAGGGCGATGTTTATGAGCCCCAATTGACAGATGACTGGCTCAGCTCACACCCTGAGGCTGCTGGAGTCTCTCCTCTGCTTCGAGAGTGATGCTTCCCATCTGTGTGGCCAGGAGCACCCGGATCTCTGTGTGGCCTGCGTGTGTCTTTGTGTGTGTCTGCCTCCTTCTGTGGCCGCCTGACCCGGTGGTCTGTCCGTGGGTCACTCACATGGGGAGCAGGTTGAGGGGTGAGCCCTGGGCTGCACCTCCTTGTACAGAAGGGGAAACTGAGGCCCAAAAGGACTGAGTCAGCCCCAAGTGCTCTCTGCCACAGCACCTTCAGGCTTTCTTGCCTGGTTGGGAGGCTACAGCAATAGAACTTGTGGTCAGATGGCCAGTGGGACTTCCCTGGCCACGAGGGGCCTGGTCAGAGGGCCCAGCCGCCCCTCCCCGCCTGGGGTGTGCAGTGCTCACCACTGTGCACGGCGATGACGGGCCGGTGGTGCTGGGTGAAGCTGGAGAGACGAGGCGAGTCCTGGGGAGATGGGCTGTTGAAAGGTGACTTGTCCATCTCTGTCTTCTTCACTGGGGATGAGATGCCTGTGGGGAGGGCAAGAGGGTCAGGGGCCTGCAGGCAGGGCCGCCCCACTCCCAGGACCCCTGGACCTCCTTCTCCCAGCAACCTGTGGGCAAGGGGCTGGGAGCCCAATGAATAGAGGGGCAAACTAAGGCTCAGAGAAGGGGGCCACCCAGGGTCACACGACCCATGGGATGTGGAGCCTGATGCCACACAGGCCCTGGGACGTCACAGCCTGGTCCCCAGCTTCTCTCTTTCCAGAGATGGATGAGCTCAGGGCTGACCCTCTCCCCTGGGGACACCAGAGCCCTGGAGAAGGTGGCATGGTGGGCAGGGGGAGGGTGGTCTGGTCCAAAGCCCGAGTCGCTCTGTGCTTGTGTTCCCCCATCCTTACTGGGGTGACAGAACTATCCCTGTGGAGTCATTGCATTAAGTGACATACAATATGTAAAGCCATTAGACCAGGGCCTGCCACACACCCACGTGCTGGAATTACTTGCTGTCATTCCTCTGCAGACGGAGGCCTCACTACCTCCCATGGCTGCCCTTCGGAACTCGGACGGTCTCCAGCTCAGCCTCAAGGAATGAATGGTGTAAAATGGGCAGGTACAGACTCCATGGAGGCCGTGGCACAGAACGAACACTGGCTCAGGAGCCTTGTCATGATAGGGGGGATGGTCTGCCAGGGCACATGTTCCCTTGAAGACGTGTGACTGCCTCCCCTGCCTCCCTGCGCCCCCTCTACGCCATCCTCTGCAGAGGCTTTTTCTATTGAGAGTTAGGGATGGTGACGTGCCTGGAAAACGGCAGAGTCCCCTGCCTGGCCTCATCCCTGGAACTGGACTCTCAGTGAAGTGGGGCCCGGAGGCCGACATGTTTAGAAATTATTTTAAAATTCATTTTAGGGTGAAACATACCCACTGAGACCACAGTGGATTCACACGTGGTGAGGGGGGAGACATCTCCCACCCAGCACAAGGTGGCCTCTCTGGTGACAGACATCGGGGCTGGATCACCCTCCATGAGTGTCCTGGGCACTGCAGGGTGGGGAGCAGTATGCCGGGCCCCACCCACTTGATGCCAGGAACCCCGAGTCATGACAAGACAGACAGCGACCAGTATTTCCTGGGTGGCAGAACCAACCGGTCAGAACCCCCGCCTTACTCTCAGGCCCACTGCCACTGTCTGTGGGTCTCCTGCCGATGGTCCCTGGGGCATCTGTGGCATCCCCAGCGCTGGGCCACCTGGGATGCTGCTGCAGCTCCCCTCTGGCACTTCCCCGTGGGGGCTTCCTGTCCTCTGCAGCTGCACGGTCTGGGAACCAGCCCCTGGACAGGCCACCAACTGCTTTTGCTGTTACAAAGGTCACTGCCCCTGATGGCTCAGAGCGCACATCACACTGTTGAGAGTGGGGAGCAAGTCTCGGCGTGTGGTTGGCAGCCCAGAGGCCCCATGGCCAAGCCGGCCGTCAGAGCAGGCCCGGGCCTCCCCAGGGACAGGAGGAGCTGGTGGGACCTAGGGCGGCCGGCAGGGAGGAGGCTGGCCCCGTGGGTGCTGCGTACTTTGTGTGTGTGCGTGCGCGCGCTGGCACAGGAGCGTGGCGGGCTCCCTGCTGGCGCGGGGCTGGCTGTAGCGGGAATGAGGTTAGGGCTGTCAGATGCTCACTTAGGAGGATTTCCTAGAACAGCCTGTCCTGGATGGAAATAGTGTGGTGCGGCCCCAGCCCCCAGCCGCATCTCCACAGGCCCTTCCTGAGCCGGGGCCTGCAGAAGCCAGGGAAGGAAGGAGGGGAGAGCGAGCCGGCCAGGGGGCTGCAAGGAAGAGTAACCCTTGTGCTCCTGGGCAGCTCTGAGGGGGTCCTGCACACGTGCGCGTCTCCACATCTGAATACCCCCCATCCTGTTTGTTGTCACGGCCCCACGTGAGCAACGCTGTCCGGTTAACACAGTGCCCTGTGTCCCTCATCGAAGCAGACGTCTCCCCATTTAACAAGCGTGCCCGTAACATCCCCTGGATCTGACTGGCCAGCTTTTTGCTCAACATACACATCTCTACGCCCCCATACGAGATCGCGCATGTTCCCCATCAAAAACGTAAACCTTAACGACACACATGCCTGTAGATGCCCCCATCTGAGTGTCCCTGCACTCGCTTGTCACAAACGCCTGTCCATCCCGTGTCTGAGCACCTGCCCATCTGCTAGACAAACTGGCCCATCTCCCTGCAATGCCAGCGCCACTGGGGGTGCCGACTGCAGCCGCCCGCTGGGTCTCTAGGGCCCAGGACACAGGGTGGGCAGAGAGAGTGTGGAGTGGATGGGTGGATGGAGCGCAGTTCTGCTGGGAATGGCCGTCACTCAGTGAGCACTTACTATGCGGGCCAGCCTCCCACCCTGCCAGCACTGCTGACAGCAGGGGGCTGGGTCATCTTCTGTGGGGCTGTCCTGGGCACTGTGGGGTGCGGAGCAGCTTCCCTGGGCCCCGCCCACTGGATGCCAGGAGCCCCCCGCCGTCATGACAACCACAGATGTCCCAGACATCACTCAGTGCCCCCTGAGGGCAGAGCTGACCTGGGTGAGGACCCTCCGTGAGGTCCCTGGGAGCCAAGAAGTGCTTGAGCTGGGATTCAAGCTCCACAGGCCATGCTCTGTCACCCCCTCCTGCCCCCAAAAAGAGATGGGGGAAGCCCCTCTCTCCAGGTAACAGAGGAGAGAGATAAGTTACCTGCTTTACTCCACAGAACAACTACCTGTGGCGGGGAGGGGTGGGGGGCCCGATGGGAGGACCCCTGTGGGAGGACCGCAGAAGCAGCAACAGAGAAGACCCTGGGGCCCCCTTTCTGCCCCGCATGGGTGGGAAATCAGGGAAGGCCTCGGGAGGTGGCCGGAGGAGAAAGGGTACTCCTGGCCCTCCTGGCCTGGGCATGGAGTGGGCAAACGCCTGGAGGCTGGTGCATGGGGCTTAAGAGATGTGGCTGCAGGGGTCTTGCCTGGATGGGGGTGGAGGGGCCTCGCCTGGGTAGGGGTGGCATGATCTCCCCAGGCCTCTGCCCCTCCCAGGCACCAGACAGTGGATGCTAGAGCTGGGGTAGGTTAGCTGAGCGCTGCCCGTGGTGGCCTCGGCAGAGGAAGGCAGAGAGCGCTCTAATCAGCTTAACCTCCTTAATGAACAGCTAATTGGAGGCCGTCTAGACAGGAAGTTGGAGGAAGCCGGGAGGGGAGGAGGGGAAGGAGAGGGAGGGGAGGAGGAGCGGGGAGGACACAGAATCCGTCTCCCTGCTAGGCTGTCAGTGGGGAGGCGGGGCAGGGACATAGCAGAGGTTCATACTGAGGCTCCCACAGGAGGGAGTGAGTCAGCCATCACCTGAGGTGATCAATGGCAGCTACAGGGGTCCAACCCCTTCTGGCATTCCCTTCCAGCTCTATGATTCTCCATCACACATCAGAAGCTGGTACAGGCTTCCTCTGTGTCCTCCCCCGTCCAGGACACTTTGTCAGGGCAGGAAGGTCAGACCAAGCCCCAGTGACTCTAACATTTCCTTCCTTTTAAAATTTTGTTCTTCCTTTTTGAGCATCCTGAATTGAAAGTTGGGCTCTTTATTTCCAGCCTCTCTCTTTTTCGAATCAGTAGACTCCAGGCTATAATTTTTCCTCTCAGGGCTGCTGTGGCTACATCACAGAGGCTGTCTTTCAGCTCTAAATAGTATACACTTTATATGTGGACAACCTCTAAAATCACAGAATTAACAAGAAGTGCTTCTGAGTTCCCAATCAGTAAATGCCAGGGCAGAACTTAACTGTCTCCTAATACCTGCTCTATCCTTCTTCCTTAGTAACAGAACCCTTGAATTTGAGATGGGCACATAATTGCTCCAAGTGAAAATACATTTCCCAGCAGCTCTTGCAGCAGAGCATGGCCCTACAACTAACTCAGGGGCTTAGAGATAAGCAGAAAAGGTAAGTGTATCTTCTGAGAATTATTTTTAAAAGGAGAGGACACACCCACATTTGATCCTTCTTCTTTCCTGCTGGCTGGAAAGCAGACATGATGCCTGGAACCCCAGCAGGTATCTTGGACCATGAGACAGGACAACCACATTCAGTGGAGCACAGGCAGGAGTCTAAGTGCCTTACATCACACTTGCCTGGGGCTGTTGATGGCTGGACATATACTTGCAGGAGAAATGCACTGTCCTTTTGGGTTTTCTGTTATACACAATTAAGCCTTAAGCATATTAAATACAGGGTCTTTATAAAGACAAACCTGAGAGAGACATTTTGATCCATAAATTAGAGCCTAATAAATAGAGAGACAGGTTGTCCTAGCATTAGGTACCTACCCTGGGAGCCCACACTGAGGAAGAGGGAGGACCCTTGGGACCTCAAATGTCACAACAAGATGTGTCAAAGACTGACTCAAAGGCATGGGAATTTTATAAAGACATGAGCACCAAGAAACTCTCCCATTTCCCTGGCCAGATGGCTGCTTTACGCACATTCTTCCATGTCCTCCTTCCAAGTCTCCAAAAGAATGATCATTCTTATCACTCTCACTTTGGAGATGAGGCAACTAATGCTCAGAGAAGTGAATTCACCTGCCCAAGGTTACACAGCCTACACAGTGAGTCAAGGGCAGAGCTGGGATTTGAACCCTGATCTCTCTGATGCCTGAACCTGCTCTCTTAATTATAATGTTAAATTGCTTTTCAAGAATCTTGTAGGCATGACACTTTGTATAGACAGATCTTTATGAGAAACCGTGCTCTATAGGGATAGGGAGGAGGGAGAAAGGAGAAGGGGAGAAGAAAACAAATTCCAAGGAATACTGGGTACTTCTGTGCCAGACCTGTTTCAGGGACATCAAATGTATTTTAACTCACTTAATTCCCATAATAAGCCTATGAGGTGGGTACTGCAGGTATTAACAACTCCATTTTACAGATGGAGAAACAGGCCCAAGAGGTGGGGTCACCAGGAAGCTGTAAGGGCTGGAGGACTCGAGTGTTTACGTTCATAACCACTAGGCTATACCGTCAGGGTGAACCCTTAATAACGGATAAAGAACTGGGTAGAGTCATGCTTCTACAATTTGGGGGCACAGACCCAGCTGAGAATCTAAGGAATGCCAAGGACGCCCTTCCCAGTCTAACCGTAGGCCACTGTTCATGTCATTTCCCAAGTCACAGACGCTGGTCCTCTAGAGAGCAGAATCTTAAAGTGAAAGGGATTCTTTAGATAAGAACCACTGAGGAGACCGGGACCCCAAAGAAGGGAAATTTTTGAAGAAAGCCCCCGGGATGACGGTAAGTAACCAAAGAATTTCGAGAAGACAGCGTTCAACAGAAAAGAAACCCTACAGAACTGCAGACCCTATAGAACAGGAGAGAGACACTCTGGACAGGATCCTATGGAGACAGGGAGCAACAGTAAAATCCACCGGGGAAAGGCGCTATGAGAAAAGAGGCGGGGCTCCCATGGAACTGGAATCACACGAAGCAAGCAAGATAGGAATCCTATTTAAAAAGGAAGCCGAGGGTGGACCCCAGCGAGAAGGAATCCTACGTCTCAGGGCCCTCTAGCTGGCACCCTATGTGAGTTGAGGCTCTACCTATGGCAGGCCCCAGGAAGAAGCACCCTGTTGATCAGAATCGCTACTAAGTCAATTCTGTGGATCAGGAACCCCACCGAGATAGGCCCTTAACAGGCAGAGGGTAGGAAAATCGGGCAGCGGATAATCTCCGCCCTCCCCAGCCTGAGCGGAACCAAAGAGCTCCGGGCACGTGAACCCGGACTTGACTTCCATCCGCGCGCAGCCCGCGAGACTACAATTCCCAGGAGGGCCCGCGACCCTAGGCCTGCTTCCGCTCCCTGGCGGCCGCGCATTGCCTTCCGGAATAAGTAGTCCCCGCTGCGGTAAACCCGACCGGAAGACCGGTCCGCCGCCGCCGCCGCCGCCAGCCCCACCTCCTTCCATGTCCTCCGTCCAGTTGCGGCTGCTACTCGTGGGAGAGCTGGGCGAGGTGTAGTAATCGCCGCCAGGGCTCGTGTCCACGTCTTCCTCCATCGAGCCGGATTTGTGCCTCTTGCTCCTAAGGGGCGAAAAAGGAAGCCCGCATGCCGGTTACCAAGGAGACGCAGGGGGCCGGGCCGGCATCACTACTTCCGGTTCCTAGAGGGCGGGGCGAGGAGGGAGCTATCGCGAGACGTCACGGGAGCCGTGCATTTTCAGCCGGTTCTCAGTTAACACCTGTTTCAATCTGCCTGTTACTTGGACAGGACGCCTGGGGCCAGCGGCAAGGAGGAACTCAGCCCAGGTCCAAGCTAACAAGCTAGCCAGTGGAGACTAAAGCCCTGAAGGCTGATCACTTGGCCTGCTGTAATCCTCAGAACAACCTAGTGGGATTATGATCCCATTTTACAGAAGAGGAAACCGAGGCAAACACGATGTGACTGGCTACCGATCACATGGCCTATCTCAGCAATAACCAGTGTCTGAATTCTTATGGAGTCTCAAGTGCTGGACCTGTTAGACTCGAGGCTGTGGGAGCCCAGAGTAGGGTGTCAGGGATGGAGAAAGAGTCACTTGGAGGCTGGGCTTTGAAGGATGAGTATGAGTTTCCCAGGTGGAATGCGAAAACGGAGAGGAATGAACCAGCTGGGGCCAGATAGAGATAGGTGTGTGGGGAGCGGGTCATGAAATGCCAAGAGGTGGGCCCTGGGCACGTACCCACTGGAGGAGGTGCTGGGTAGCGTTCTTCTCATGCCTGTGCTGGCTGGATTCAGGTCGTACGCCAGGTGCCCCTGCAGCTCCCCCAGGGAGAAGTTGGGTCCTGTTCCAGTCACCACTGGTGCTGCAAAGGACGACAGAGAGGACAGTGAGGGAGGAAACAAGGTCCCTGGGTGCAGTTTGCCCTAGAGGGGTGGGAGAGCCACCTGGGTGCTGGCAGTCTGCAACAGAACCCCTTCCCAAATTGGCCTGTTTCCTGATTTGTCCAAAAGTGGCCTTATTCTACAGATCAGAACGAGGGCATTGAGAGAGGCCAAGGTCACGTTGTGAGGCAGAGGCATAGCCAGAGCTGGAGGTCAAGCTTCCCAGCACTACCAGAGGCCAGGCTCTGCTGATCTGGACAGGGAGGGCAATGGTTAGGGTTAAGGCAGTGCAGTGCCCAGAGCCCCCTGGGGTGAGGTTTAAACAGGGGTGTCTGGAGGATTGGGGAGGGTCCCTGCAGGTCCATAGATAAGGCAAGAGGACAGGAGGCAAAGCAGGTGGAGGGCGGGGCCATCTGGGGTCTCTTCCTCAGGGAATGGGGAGGCCCCAGGAAGGGGGGATGCTGGAGTGGAAGTTTCTTTAGCCTTTCCACCCAGCATCTGGAGTCCTTCCTGGAGAAGAGCACGTCACTGTGACCTTGGCCTCTGGGAAGGGCTGGATACCGCCCTTCCTGGGAACCTTGGCTTGGTGACAGGGGCTGCTTAGAGAGGACGTGGGGGAGTGGGCAGGGTGACAGGCTCCTTCCTCCCTGAGCCTCTCTTCTCTCCCCAAGTCCCCTTCCCTCTTGGAGCCCCCATCCTGAATCCACTTCTTTCCACCAGCCCTCCCCTGTGTGAGCCCCTCCCTCTGCAGGTCCCAGCACAGGGTGGGCGGGGACACTTACTCCGGGACACTTGGATGAGCTCAGTGACACTGAACACACCGGAGGTGACGAAGCTCTCCTGGAAGTCGGTGGTGTCTGGAAAAGGGAAAGGCTGGAGGTCAGCAGGTGGCCAGCTGAGCCGGGTCTGTTCCCCCACCCCCCGACACTCCTGGGCTGCCCAGATTGCGGGGGTTGGACCCAGTCTGGGCGGTCACTCTGTCTTCCCCCTCCCCTCGTCCCCTCTGCGGCCCTGCAGCAGGAGGATGTCCTCTGGTCCGACGGGGGAGTCCCTCCGCCCTAACCCAGCTAGGGAGGACGTTCTTCTCTGAGCAGCTGCTCAGCCCTTCTCACTGCAGCCTCCCCCAGCCTCCCAGCCTTCACCCAGGGCCATCATGCCTGGGCAGGCTGCGCACATGAGTGGAGGCCAGACCTGAGTTCAAATCCCAGCTAGGATGCCCAGAGTGTAATCTTGGGCAAGTTACTTTAACCTCCTTCAGCCTCAATGGTCTAATCTCAAAAGTGGGACCATACACCCTGTCATCTTGGGTGGATTTGAGACATGAATCCTTCTACCTAGGAGGGACCAGCTCACCTCCTTTGCCTCAGTCTTCACCCCACACAATGCTGCAGCTGCTTACGCTGCCTGCCCCCCCAGGCCTGGAGCCCTGCAGTGTCCCCAGTGCCTAGACCAGAGCCTGGCAAATGGCAGGGGCTCAGAACCACAGGCTGAATGGAGGGTCCAGAGGCAGCAATTAAAACCCCCACTGTGCCCAGGCGCACACCTGCCTGATGTCAAAGGAAGAGGGCCCCTCCTCTCCAGGTTGGGGTGGTTTAGACCCATTTCATGGGTTTGGAAACTGAGGTTGGCCACGAGAGGGCAGGAGTCCTGGCCAACCTGGAACAGCTGGGAGGAGGCCTGTCCCACCTGGAGGCCCTCACAAGCAGGACCCATTTCTTCAGCAACCGTTTACTGAGCACCTCTGAGCTGGGCACTGGGGATACAGTGGGAGATGAGACGGACAGAAGCAGCTGCCCTCCAGACGCACAGTCCAGTGTGGGTGACAGATGCCACATAAGAGCAGGAAGTCAAAAAAACCTGTACATGGATGTTCACAGCAACATGATTTATAGTAGCTAAAATTGGAGACAACCCAAATGTCCATCAGCAGATGAGGGATAAACAAATGTGGCCCCTCCCTATGCAGGAACATCACTCAGTCCTGAAAAGGAGTGAAGCGCTGACCCTCACTACCATGTGGACAGACCCTGAGAACATGATGCTCAGTGAGAGAAGCAGACAAAGAAGGACACACAGTGTGTGATTCCATAGACGTGAAACGTCCAGAACAGGCCAGTCCACAGGGACAGTGGAGTTGTGGTCACCAGGGGAGGGGGAGGGATGAATGGAGGTGGGGTTGCTTTTTGGGGTGCTGAAAATGTTCTGGAACTAGATAGAGGTGATGGATGCACAACACTGTTAATGTACTTAATGCCACTGAATGGTACGTTGTAAAATGGTTGAAATGATGCATTTTATGTGTATTATACCACAATTTAAAAAAGGTTTTTTTAAAGATCATGAAGTCAAAGGTAAGGAGTGTCAGGCAGTGGTAATAAAGCAGGTGAGATCAGGGGAGCCTGCTGGGGAAGGGATCTGTTTTATTTTACACAAAGGGCTCAAAGGAGGTCTGGGAGAGTGATATTTTACTAAGACCTCAAGGCAGGGGTGAATAAGAGGAACCCGCGAGTTAAAATTTGGGAAGTGCCAAGACAGCACCTGGCACGGGGAAATTGCCCTGCGAAAATTGGCGGCCCCGATTAGGATGACCTTAAACTCGACGTTTTGCCACCTCCCTGTGGGCCACAATGTTCCTGGTGGTGGGAGCGGCTGGTGCAAAGGCCCTGGGGTTGGCACGCAGGAGTGGGGAGAGTGGTCAGAGGGGGGGCACTCTGGCTTGGGGGGGGGTTGGGGCGGGGCGGGAGCAGTTCTTGTCCAGGCCCCCAGAGGGCAGCACGGGCCAGCACAGGCCACAGGGAGCTCACAGCAGTGCCCAGGTCCCCAGCTGTCCACCACTCAAGCCCCCTGGTTACAAGCTTTGTGCACACCATTTATTGAGCAATTACTACCTGCCCAGGCCCATGATGAGAGGCTCGGGACCACACTATCCCCAGGAGGACAGGGCGGTGGCCCCCAGTGTCCAGGGGAAGTGGCCATAGCCATTTCCTGCTAACCCAGCTGGCCAGCTGGTGTCAGCACACCCCTGCACCCTCCCCCCACCGGGGTTTCCTGTTTGTGCAGCGCTTGCCCTGCTCCTTCTCCAGGGGACTCCCTGGCGGGCGGGGAGGAAGTGATTTCCTCAGCCAGACGCTGGAGCTCCCCGCGGGACCAGGCCAAGCGCCACGGCCCCTGCCGCCTGCCCAGAACATCTGGCTTGGAGGGAGGCGCCTGGGAATCACAGGAGGCCAAGGAGGACTCGGGTCACAGATGGCCGGTGAAGAGTGGCCTGGGGGCCTGTGAACCTCCTGGAACCATCCAGCCTCCCTGTGCCGGACCTTCCAAGGGGGATGCCCTCGCCCACCGGCTCCTTCTTCCTTTCTGCCTTTTCATCTCTCCTCCTCCCTCACCCTGATGTACCAGCTCTCTAGGTTCTCCTCCCCGCTCTGCTTCTTCCCTCCTTCTCTCCTTTCCTTCTTCCTACAAATGTTTTTTGAGCAACTACAGTATACCAGGTCCTGTTCTAGGCACTCAGGACAGAGCAGTGACCAAGACAGATAAACACCTCTGCCCTTGAGGAGGTGATGTTCCACTAGGAGAGTTAAGCAAACACATTTGCAACCGCTAAGCAACTAAGCAAATACATATACAATCACTAACTTCCTCTAAAGGAAATAAAACAGAGGGCTATGATTGAGCTGAGGGGCTCAGGGAAGATCCCTCTGAGAGGGAGGCATTTGAACTGAGACCTGGGTGATCTGGAAAGAGAGAGCAGTTAGTGGTCCAGACCGAGGGCACAGCCCGTGCAAAGGCCCAGGGGCAGGACTGTGCCTGGCATGTTGAAGGAGCAGCAAGGAGGCCCAGGTGGCTGAGCAGAGGGAGAGGGGAGAGGGGAGAGAAGGAGGAGGTGAGGGCAGGGAGGGGGTGGGACAGGCCATGCAGCGCCTTGTGGGCCTGGGGAGTTCTTGGGCTTCTACCCTGGAGGAAGGTGGGCGCTCTGGAGGGCTGTGGGCAGAGGAGGGCGGGACCTGACTCAGGTCCTCACAGGCATCCTCTGACCACTTCAAAGAGGACAGACTCAGGTAGAAGCAGGGCCTCAGCAGCTTCCAGATCCTTTCTGTCCTTCAGGGCTCTGTTCCTAGCCCTGCCTCAGACAAATTCTCCCACTTTCCACTCCCGTAACATAAAACTGACTTGTCCTGCTCATTTGTTAAATATCCCAAGAGACTGCAGGACTCTCTGGGGCCTCTCCCATAGGAGGAGCACCTCAGAGACCAGAGGCTGGAGCTCAGGGTCGTGGGTTCCAACCCCAGCTCCCTAGATGCCCTTGGGAAGGCCCGTTATCCTCTCTGGATCTCAGTGTCCTCATCTACGAAATGGAACAGCAGCACCCACCCCACAGCGTGGCTGTGAGGAGTAACGCAGGTACTCACGCAGGACCACGCAGAGCCCACAGGGGGTGCTCTGAAAATGATTTCTAAATAAAAGATGGGGACGGGGCTGTGCCCCCCACCCCCCCACCCCCAGACTCACCCAGTGTGATGGGCTTGCTGTCTTCCTGGTCGGAGCCCATCCCTGCCCGGGGACTGCTGCTCTGCTCCGCGTCTGCAAAGAGAGGGAGGAGAAGTGGGTGACATTGCATGGACCCCCCACCCCGGAGGGGAGGAGACATCAGTGCCAGCGCTAGGCTGGGCCAGCGCCATGGAGATGGTGGTCTGGAACGTGGTGTGGACCCCTCCCTTGGCTGCTGCTCCAGGGGGCCACAGACGTCTGAGGTCGCTGGGGCACCTGGGTGGCTATGTGCTGGAGCGTGGGAGTCAATGCTCCCTGAGCCTCAGTTTCTCCAACTGTGAAGTCAGGATAGCTCAATTAATCCTGCCTCCACCGAATAAGGCGGGAGCTCTCATTAGGCTCATTTTACAGATAGGAAAACCGAGGGCCAGAAAAGTGAGTCCTTGACCCCTCAGGCCCCCTCCCCTCTGCCTCTGCCTTTGAAGTCCTGGGGGCCCAGCCATTGGTCTTGGGTTGCCACTCAGGGCTCCTCAGAGTGGGGGCTGAGGGGCGTCTTTCTGCAGCTCTAACGTCCGCCCTGCCCCCATCTGGCTTGGGGGCTTCTCCCACCCTGGCGCCCGCCCCTCCATCTTATCTAAAAATAATCAGGCTCCTTGGCAGGCCGGCAAAGCAGACAGACGCTGAGCTCAGCGTTATCGGCTCCGGAGGCCTAGACGGAGGCCAGCCCCGCTGCAGCCCCCACACTCTCCACCCTGGACTTGGAGCGGGGTTGCGGGGGCACACGGCCAAGTCCAGACAGACAGCAAGCCTAGCCCAACCAATTTGTCTCTCAGGTCAAGGATGAAGGTGGCAGGAATCTCCACCAACTGCCAGAGAAAGAGAATCAGGCCCCCCCCGCCCCCCGCCACACTCCAAGGCTGGGAGGTAATCGCTGTGTGACCTCAGGCAAATCACTTAACTGCTCTGGGCCTCAGTTGTCTCTTTCAGATGTGCAGAAGCACTGCACACACCGGCCTGACGGAGTTGTCAGGAGGCAGCAAGGAGAGGATACCGATGAAGCGCTTCCGGCACACCAAGCTCAAAAGACCGCCTGATGTCCACCCATTAGTGTTATTTCTCTTATTTTTAAATCCCCAAGATGGGCGCAGATGTGGTGTTCTGTGACTCCCTTAAAGCCTTAAGAGAGCCACAAACCTGGCATTGTCAGCGTACCTATTTTGTAGACAAGGAAAACAGGGTTGGAATGGCGAAAAAGTGCCCGCCCCATACCCCCTGTTAGTCTAGTGGATCCTTTGTGCGTGCGTCCAGACATCCAGCGCGGCGCATGCGTGAGCTGCCTGGCTCCTCGGACCCCACGCCCACGTTCCCGTCCCAGCCCTGGGAGCCGCAGAGGCCGCGTGGGCCTGGGGCGGTCACGTCCCCTCCCGGGAAGGGCAGCTCTGTGGATAATAGTAATGATGCCGCTGCCCACAACAGTTTCCGAGCCCTTGCCGTCTGCCTGGCATCGCTGTGTGCTGAGCACCTACTGGCGGCCAGGATTGAGGATGCAGTGCACAGCCCAGGAGCAGCCACGAGCTGCCTCAGTTTCCCCATCCACAACTGGAGCGGATGCAGGCAGCCTTCCTTG